AATTGTTGCCTATCTATTTTTCATACTATTTTTAAGATTTACTTATTTATTTATTATGTTTGCAGTGTTCTGTCTGCATGTGGGCCAGAAGAGGGCACCAGATCTCATTACAGATGGTTGTGAGCCATCATGTGGTTGCTGGGAATTGAATTCAAGACCTCTGGAAGACCAGCTAGTGTTCTTAACCACTGAGCAACCTCTCTAGCCCCTCTATTGGACTTTAAATTCCACTCCAATCTCTTTGAAGATGTATCTGATCATTGTATATAACAAAAACACAGTGTGAGTGTTTGGATGAGGTTTCCACTCTCCAGGAAGGGTAGGTTTTTGCATCAAGCAAGCCATTGTTGAAAGGGCTGGCATTTTAATTTAATGAGCAAAAGAACTGAGAAATGAGTCTTCCTTTGTGGAAGAATTGGGCTTATTTCGAATGCAATGTGCATCAATAGTGTAACTTGTGTGCTCCTGAAAGCTTTCCCAGAGTGCCTCATCTTGAACTGCCACTTTCTAACAGGAAACTCTCTTCTCACCTGAGGCATCTCTTATAAGTGGTCAAGTGCCCCTGGAGGAAAGCTGCAGCCCTCTGAAATACTCTTCTCTCTGGGACCTTTGTCTCAACTCCAGTCTGATGCCTTAGTGGTAATATGTGTTTAATGTCGCTATGTTTACTCAGTGAGAGAGAATCTGCAAAAGAAGTCCCACCTTTGCCTCTTCGTTTTGATGTCCCTGAAAGGACAAAGGGAGCCTGAAGTCACATGTACACACACACTTCCTCATGCAGCCTTTGTGTGTTTAGAAGACGAATGTGTCCCAGAGGCCCATGTGTCTAAGGTGTGGTCCCAGCTTGGCACTATTGGTAGGCTGTGGAACTTTTGATTGGTGGGTCCTTAACAGGAAGCCCTTAGGTCTTTGATGACATACCCTTAAAGGGAACTGTGAGGCCTGTCCTCCTCTCCATCCTCCTTCCTTGCCATGAGGTGAGTGATTTTATTCCTCTCATACTCCTGCCATCATATGTTGTTCCATGAACTAGGTCTTCCACGAGGCAAAACAAACCCTTTCTTTTTGTAAGTGGATTATCTCAGGTGGTTAATTACAGTGACAGAGGTTGACTGAAGGACTTGTTTCTTCAGGAATCAGGCTTTGTGAACATCCTGGTGCTGTCACTTTCCAGCCTTGTGATCCTGGCAAAGCCTCTTCTTGGGTCTCAGTTCTCATGTTTCTTCTGTGGCTAGGCTGAATAAGCTAATATATGCCTAGTGCTAAAAGCAGTGCTTGGCACATGTGGAGGCCCACTGAGGCAGCTCTGTTCCATCTTGACTTAAGGTCAGAGTTCAAATTTTTTCTTGCACCTTCAAAGTTAAACAACAGGATGTTTGCCCTAAGGTGTGGCTACTGGATGTCTTGATCCTCAAGACCAAATTACAGATTTTTGACTTAGGGAATGGTGACCAGATGTTTTGGGTATTGGGAAGGTAATTATGCTTGTTCTTTGTATCATGCCCTCCCCTTTTGCTTGGGGTATATAAGGATGATGAATAATAAACTTGGGAAACCTGGGGCCTTTTACAGTACCTGAGGGCCCTCGCCACTCTATTTTCTGTCTTTTGTCTATTTCTTTCCTCAATCCACACTCTCCTTCTCAGGAACATATGGACCTGACAGGCACATAGCAAACACTCGGTCAGTTACTAGTATCTGGTTAATGTATGTTAAGTAAGTACTTAGTCTGTACCATGTGAGGTGTACACATAACAATGAAAAAGGTAAACCCAGTTCCTTCTGCTATGGAAGTGATGTACATTCAGTAGGCATTCTGGGTAAAATCCCAGAGTAAAAGGCCCACAGTAAAAGCAAACAAGATGTTTACAAAGAGAGGTGCATGTAGTGGCCACCATGAAAGAAGACATCTGAGCAGGTACACATTTAGGTCTAGGCTGAGTGGAAATGGCTTACTTCTTAGATCTAACACATGAAAAAGGTAGGGCAAATGACAGAGTGAAAAAGTAGCCAATTAGCCCAGGTGGCCAGCAAAATTTCTGTGAGTGGTGTGTAACAAATTAGGGTTAAGTAGCAAGCCAAGGTGAGTCTGCTGGGAAACAGGGAGGAGCAGTCCAGAGTCAAGGAAATACATCTGCACATTCCCTCCTTCTGGCACATGGGAAACAGAAGGATGTCCAGCATTTCCAGAGTGTGATGAGCAAAGGGAGAAGAGTGGCTAAGAGAGAGCTGAGAGGTGGCTGTGTTGGGATGACCGAGGTGGAGGTCTAGATTGCACGCTAACTACCCTGGGGAAGCTGGGCACCATGGGATATGCCTATAACCACAGCAAGTTTCAGCCAGAATAAAAAGAAACATGCTAGACAGTGGTGGCACATGCTTTTAATCCCAGTACTTGGGAGGCAGACACAGGTAGATCTCTGTGAGTGAGGCCAGCCTCGTCTACAAAGTGAGTTCTAGGGCAGCCAGGGCTATGGAGAGAGACCCTGTCTAAAACAAAACAACAGCCCCCCCCCACAGGCTAAGACACCATCTTCAATGGCACAACATGGTCGTGGCATCCTGGAGACTGTGCCAAACCAGACACCTCTAAACCCTCCACATCTCCAGCATTGCCTCTGTGTCTTTCCTGCAGAATGGCTGCTGTTCTGTCCTACAGGTGAGAAATGGGAGCTCAGAGGTCAAGATCCTGGGCCCAGGCTTCTCAGAAGAGACCTGCCCCAGCCTAGCAGTGGGCCCTGTGCACCCTGGGATTAGCTGAGCTGGCTGAACCAGCCCTGTTGCCTGGAAGCAGACAGCTAGGGCCAGTGCCACCCAACACCTGCTGTGTACCTGGGTGCCACCGATGAAGCGAATAGAACTGAGGCCAGCTCCCTATTCCAGAGCCTGCAGATCTGCTACCACCTTTGGATTATAGTAGGGATGGAACCCAGGGCTTTGTAAATGCCAGACAGACACTCTAGTGAGCTATCAGCCTGAAACAGGTGCTTTTCCAGGCAGTTTTGTAACAAAAGGAACAAAGACGTGAGGAATGGTCAAAGAGGGTATTGGCTTAAGGGGATGTTGTGGGTGTCTGAAGTATCCTCCTGAGAGATTCATGGGTGATCTCTTGAGGGTGATGCTCCTGAGAGGTGATTGGCTCAGAGGGCACTGACTCCAACATTTACTGCACTTATGATTTAGGATTATTGGGGAGTGGGGACTGTTTGGAGGAATTGTTCATTGGCACATGCTTTTTTGAATGGTGTACTGGTCCTAACCACACACTGCTTTCTGCCTACCAAGGGAGAGCAGCTTTGTTCCTTCACACCCTTTTACTGTGATGCTTTGCTTCAACCATCACCCAGAAACGACCGCCACCTGACCATGGATTTGAAACCTTAGCAACTATAAGCCCAAATAAGGCCCGTTTAAGGGAGGAGACACTTGGTCACCTGAATACCCATAGGAATGACAGAGCTGACAAGGAGGAAGGAATTGGGGATTCAGTAGACCAGTTCTTGAGAAGGTCAAACAGAGCCAGGCATTGGTGGCGCACACCTTTAATCCTAGCACTCGGGAGGCAGAGGCAGGCAGACCTCTGTGAGTCCGAGGCCAGCCTGGTTTATGGAGTGAGTGCCAGGACAGGCTCCATAGCACCATAGCAATACAGAGAAACCCTGTCTCGAAAAACAAAAACAAAAACAAAACAAAAAAAAAAAAAAACAAACAAAAAAAAACAAAATAGAGAGAGAAAAAAAGGAGGTCCAACGGATGGATCCAGATCCAGATCTTATTGCCTCTGAGAGAAGCAGACATAGCTCATTTGGAGTTCCAAGAGGAAGCTGAGAACAAGGCTGGCACAGTTGTCAGGCCTGGGGAAGGTACTGAGGGAAGACTGGCCCATCACTCTTACCCTTTGATGAACTGGGAGGGAAAGGTCAACCTCCAGCATGTAGGGCTGGGGAAGAGGGCTAAAGACTGAGGACAGGAGATATGATGTTGCTGTTTGGGAAGGCAAGACCTTGAAGAGAGGCAGGAGGGGATGGCTGTTCCTGGGCCATTTCTGGCTGCGGATTTGTGTGGTAATGCTTATAGAGACCTAGGTTTGCCTGCTGCATTTGCCTGTGCAGGTGTGGAGCAGGTAGAAGGGGGTTTCCCTGGGTGGTGGAACATTGCCAGCTCAGTGGGACAAAGGGAGAGAGGATGTTTGCAAGGAAAGTGGTGTAAGATGGGATGAACAAGGCATGTTGGCCAGCAGCTCAGTCTTCCAGGTATATCTGCCCACAGCTCCCTGGGATTGTGTTTTAATAAAAACCTGGGAGCTCACAGAGGCCCGAGGCCTCAGCAGCGTTTCCTCCAGGACTAAATCCAGTCTTGGGAGTTTGGGAAGCTCAGTCTTTCATGTATGCATAACCCCCAACCCCGCCCCTCTGCCCTGATTTCCCAAAGGTCACCACTTGAGGTCACGTTCAACAAGGAATAGTAACACGCTAGTAACATGCTAGTAAGATCCCCCAAGATGATGTGGACCTAGTGCCGGTCTGAGTCCAGTCTAGAGATGAGAGGCTCCAGATGTGCCTAGACAAAACTTGGGAGGGAAGGGGAAGTGGAAAACAGGGAAGCTGTGATTCCATATTCTTTCTTTTCTCGTACCACCTCCCAAAGCCCCCAAGGGATGCAGCTCTCTTGGGGTCTGGGCATGTAACTGAGGAAGACTGGGTCCTAAGCAACACCAGGGACCTGGATTCTGGAACTGGGGCACAGGTGGGGAAGGGGTGTTGGGAATGAGGCCAAAGCCAAGTTAGAACTGGGGCACTTTACATATGGGACTTGCTTCTATGCAACCTTCCTCAGAAATTCTGGGAAATTGTGTGTCTGAGCCTAGATCAGTGGAACTGGCCAGGCCGGGGGGGGGGGGCATATATGGATAGGTGAGGTTTTAGGGCAGGCTAGGGGCAGATGTTGCTCTGTGAGGTCAGAGTGGCCCCCAATACCCACATTTAAAAAAAAGAGCCTCCTCCGAGTAAACCACGTTTATTTTGAACATTCAAATTTACAAAAACAAAAATGGTAACAAAACCATGACACAGATCTCACATGCACTCACATACATACACACAAGATCTCATGTTACTTATATACAGAATAGAGCCAAGTGAGGAGGGAGGGCAGTGGAGGGCACGCATTTCAGTGTCCGAGCATGGTGACCACTTCACATGCGTACTGCTGGCTGCTCAGTCTGGGAAGGGGCTGGTTCCTCACCCAGCAGGGGCAGGGGATAGGTTGGGAGGTGGGACCTGGGGTGGCAGGCTGCTGGAGTTGAGAGGTGAAGAGAGGAGACCCTTATCTGGGAGAAGACACTTCTCCAGTTTTCTCAGGCCAAAGGTGCTGGGATTTATAGGTAGGTGGGACACAGTTTGGGGAAAAATGAGAAGATGAAGCACAATCAGAGGGGACTCAAGGGTCATTTGAGCTCTCGGCCAGGCCTCAGCTTCCCCATCTGCAAGCCAAGGGTTGAGTTCCCTCCCACAGATGCTCATGCCTGTGGTCCCCATTTATGTATAACTGGTGAGATGATGCCTTGGGATATGAAACTGGCCACCACATGCCTCAGAGGTGGGAATCTGGCAGAGATCAGCTTAGTGCACCTGGCTTAGGCCTTGTCCAGAACAGGAGGTTGAGGAGGTGCCACCTCCGCCCTGCCTTCCTGCCTTCACTTCAGAGACTCCTTTCCTGCCCTGAAAACTGCAGCCCAAGTAAAGGCTGAGGCTTGAGCATAGTTGAGAGACCCTTCACTGGCTCTGAGCCCCACACCCCATCTCTGCTCCTTCTGCACTCAAGGAGGTGGCCCTGTCCTCCATGCATGTAACCCTGCCTCCAAACAAATAGCACTGTCACCAGTTGGCCAATTGATATCAGGCAAGTTACTCTACCTTCTCAGAGCCCTGTCCTCTCCTGCATCACAGGCTAAGAACAGTCCTACCTCTTCATACTGTGCTGAGAGGATAAGCCAGATGGTGCAGATAGAGCACTCTGCAGTTACAGTGTCTAAGGCTGCCTGAAAACCCATCTCCATCTTCATCAGACCTTGGGGGCAGCTCAGGGTCATGACTATCCTGTTGAGAGCAGCAGAAGGCATCAAAACTGGTCCACGTGCTCAGGGAATATTCATAGCCAACAGATAAGAACAGGAAAGAGAGAGCCAGTTCTTTCCCTGGTGATCCTGGTGATCCACACTCAGAGACATGCCCCTGTGTCTCCATTTTTTTCTCCTGGGGAGAGGTGGCTGAAGTTTAACCAGGGTGACCTGGCATGAGAATGTGGCAGAGGTGTCATTTTTTTATTACCACTGTGACAAAGCAGAAAGGATTGGAATGGTGTGTCTGGTGGGCTCACATGACCCAGTAGCCACATCCTTCCCAAGACTGTCCTCCCAAGGTCTCCTCTAAAGCTACCTCTTCTAGAACAATAGCAAAAGCCTGATGAGGCTCAGAGTCCCTGAGGTCTAAGTTCTGAATTCAGCTGTCACCCAGCAACAACATGAATGATAGACACTTGACCCAGCACTGGAACTGATGTCATTGGCTGTTACTGGGCAACCTGGATCTCAGCAGGTCTGGCTGAAGCCACCACAACTATCTTCAGGGGATGGAGGTGCTGAGACACGTAGTTGCTCTCAAAATGGAAACAGAGATCGGCAGGCCAGAGGCAAGTCTTGGACTCGATTCCCCGGCAAGGGCTATAACCTCCCACTCCTGCACCATGTCTCAGGCTGAATGGCCATTGGGAGAACAGACAGGGACAAAAGTTGGTGGGGACAGCCTGGGGTTGGATGTCCCACATAGATGTTGGAAAACACTGTGTCCTCTCAAATGCCTCCCTGCACAGGTATAAGCTGGACTCAAAGGCCCTCAACAACAGGCAGTATGGTACACAGAAGAGCACTGAGGAGGGACTCAGAAGTTCTGGGCCTGCCATGTTGTGCTATTCATTGCCCTCTCTCTGCTCTTCCCCATTTTCCACAAGGAAGAGCCTACAATGGGCAGTCTTTCTCAGCACTGACATGCTTCTGTGCTTCTGTGCTCTGGGGAGCTGGTAAGGACTCAGCCTCTAGCTGAGACACTCTCAGAGAAGCAAGGGTGAAGGATCCAATATGTGTCTGGTCTGTCTTGAGCCTTGTCCTTGACACTGACCCTTTGAGCCAGCTGTGACCCTAACCCCTGCTTTCCAGTTCCAGAACCTTCTATGCTAAGCCACTGTTCCTCCAGTGCTCTTTGTTTGCTCTGTCCACCAGGTATCATGGCTTGTCTCATGTTCTAAGTGTGGCGTTCTTAGAAGCGGCCAACACTATGGCCTCAGCTCACAGGAAAGCCAGGCCCAGAAAGGGTGGGTTCTTAAAGAAGGCCACACAGCAAGTCAGCAGCAGGACTGAGTATGAAACAAGGGGTCCTCTCTCTCACACAGTGCTCTGTCCTGTCTCTCAGTATCCTCCGGCCTTTCCAGGACCATGCAGAAGGAGTTGATATGATGGCTGAGCCACCCGGATTTGGCAGGAAAATGTCTCCTAGGACATGGTGCCTCTGCTTTGGATGCTCTCAGGCTAGGCTAGAGTGAACAAAGCCCTGTCGTGGGCATAGGGGTGGGGTGGTCAACCATGCTGGTGGGCAAAGTTGCCAGTGGGTACAGGGGATGATTACAGCCCTTTGGCCTCCAAGGTCTTGGTCCCTAGCTGTTAGGTGGAATCTGGGAAGGGAACATCCTGGAAACTGAGGCAGGGCTTGAACTGACAGCAAACCAACAGTCTTACCACAACACGCAAAGAAACTGGAGCAAGGAGGGAGGAGGAGAGGGGCAATGGGAACGATGATCCTGTAGCGCCTGTGGGCAACTGAGGAAGACAGATGAGGAGGGTCTGATTTTATTCATCACTGGCATCCCTTCTACAGCCTGTGTAGGCCTGAAGCACAGGGGATGAGAGGGTTAAAGGCCACCTCTCCCCACAACTCCTCAGGGAATGTTGGAATTAGTGCAGTCTGGTGTGGCTGGTGGGAGGGCAGAGTGTGTGCAGGGGAGAGACCATACCAACACATTGCCAGGAGTCAGGACTGCCTCGACTCCAGGTTGGACCAATTGATTTGAGATATTGGTCCCTACCTAGACAGCTGAGGGGACATCCATCCAGCACAGGGCATTCTGAAGGTGTGGGTGCCTGTGATGGGAAGTGGGAGTTATGGCCAGGGGTGTGGTAGGAGGGTCAGCACGTGAACAGGCTGAGGAGGGAAGTGCCCCTTCAAGGCAAGGGAAGGGCTCTGAACAAGGTGGCTCCTCATGCCTTGGCCCTCCCCTTGCAGACATCAAAGGTGGCCTTCTTTGCACCTCCGAAGGCCTCCACCAGCTTATCTTCCCAGGGGAGGACATTGCCTAACAGTGGTCCAGTGCAGTTGGCCATGCCTAGGACCTGGGCAGGTGTCAGGACATGGTCCCACAGGTTAAACTGTGCAATGTCACCGACGAAGGCCTGGGTGGCATCAAATCGGCCCCCCAGGGTATCCTAAGCCAAGCGAGCAACAAAGAAAGGAGAGAGACATGGAATGAGGGAAAAAGGGTAGAGATAACCAAGCCAGGCCCTATGCCTGCCAAAGCCAGGTTCCCAAGGTTCTAGCCCCACCCGAGGATGCTTCCTCCAAGGCTCTAGCCTCACTCCCAAGGCCCTTCTGTAGCACCACTCCAAGGTTTCAGTCTCATCCCAGGTTTCAGCTCCACCTGCTTCTTTAGCTCTCAAGCTGCCCATCTGCCAATGGGTGGGTCAGACAGCAGCTCACTGCTGTTTTAGCTTCCTCTTGTTTCCTTTTCATGGGCCCCAGATAAGATGGGATAATGACTTGGGGGTACATGCTACCTGAGCCTTACCTGCTCTTGGCCCAGGATAAGGATACCATGTGGCTTGATGGGGTGCCAGGCTGCCAAGTTCTCACCAGAGCCCCGAAGTTCACCGTCCTGGTATGCAGACCACAGCCCATCCCTGGTAGTCCAGGCAATGCAAATATGGTGCCAATTGTTGTCCTTCAGGCTCAGAGGCAGCTGGGCCACCTGGATATAGGACCCAAACCCAGGTGAGAGGCCCAACTTGGGAGAAAAGGGTGGCTTTGCAGCCAGCCTCACAGCTTTCCTCTAGGGACAGAATCCAAGGCCAAACTTGCATTCCATCCATTGTCTTTCTTGTCCTGACTTTCCCTCTTCCCATATGACCCCACCAAGCAGCTTCCTTCAGGTCACAGGCACTATCTGAAACTATGGTTTTCAGGGCTCCAAGGTCACATATGGTAGGGCAGTGTCTACAACCCATTTCCTATTACATGCTAAAACAGTGCCCACCACACAGTGGGGCTCATTCACTAGGCCACAATGAGCCTTGAACTCAGAGGCTGGGTCCTAGTGTCTGGCCCTGGATCTGCTACCAGCCCCTATGTGACCTTAGGGAGGCTGTCTTTTCTTCCAGAGCCTTGTCTGTAAAGTGCTAGAGAAAACACACAGTTGCTGCCTCTTCCTGCACCCAATGCAGACATGGCTAATCAATCATGAGCCTAGATGCAACCTGGGACTCTTACTCATGGTGCTCTAGAAGCCTCTGCTAATGGCTTGATGCTGGTCTGTGAGGTGAACACCACTGGTCTGTGGCTTTAAAGGGCTCCTTTATCTCACAAATGCTCTGAGATCATGACTTCACAAGGCATTCTCTGGTGCCTGCTGGATGCCAGGCCCCATTCTAGACTCACGTGGTGGGTCTGGGCATGGCCTGGAATGAATTGTGCCTGCATGGGAAAGCAGGGCTTCAGGGACAACATGGCCTGTGTCTGCTTATCTCCACTCTCAGCTTGACTGGATTTTGAATCACCCAGGAGATATGCCTCTGGGCATTACTGCTCATGAGAGAGTTTCTAGAGAGATCTAATAGGAGGAAGGCCTACCCCAAATGTGGTTGATGGGCTGCAGTTCCCAGACTGAATAAAATGGAAGAAGCCAGCTGGGAGCCCACATTCATCTCCTTCTGCATTGTGACCAGCCTCCTCACACTCTGGCCCTCACAGCTACAGCTGCTCTTGCCACCCTGCCTTCCCAAGATGGACTGTACCCCAAGCTGCAGGCCAGGATAAACCTGTCCTTAAACTGCTTGTCAGGCACTTTGCTATGGCAGTGAGATGTCAGAGCTGGAGGATGCAGGGGACGCCAGCGGGAGAGGCGCGGGGGGGGGGGGGTGGGAGAAAGTGCTGACAAAAGCCCCCTGGAAGGGCATCTAATCAGCGTGGCAAACCTGGTGCTTCGAGGCAGGAGGGGAGGAGGGAAGAGCCACAGGTCGGGAACAATGCTGGCAATGCTGTGCCCTGTCCAGGGTGCTGAACTCTCCATCTCGAGGGCCTTCTGCTGCCCTCTGCCAGGCAGCAAAGACCAAGATGAAGGGGCCAGGACAGCCCTCTTGGTCAACCCTGAGATCTTGAGACCTTAAGGCAATACAGTGACCCTCCTGAGCCACTGACCCCTGTCTCTTAGACACCCAGCGGAGCTCCCAGATGTATAGCTTGTGGGCTTGTCCCAGGCGAGTGTGACCTGTGGTATCTGCTTTTGGGGATCACCAGCAGCCTGCCTCTCCCCAGACAAGCCCTTTAGTAGTTCTTCCCCCCCCCCCGTTCAGAAGAATGCACAGGGCTCCGGGTGTAGATGCCTGTAGGCCGGCCTCTACCCACATGACCTAGAAGTCAGCCTGTTTTCCTTTCTTTAGCCAGCCCTGGATATGGATTGTCTACATTCCCAGAACTGAACTTGGCACACAATAGGTGTTTAAAGTGTCAACCCACATTTAGCACCGACGTAGTGTGGGGCACCTGTGCTTTGGGAAGCAGAGCCCACCTGTCCCCTGCCCCTGGTCCCTAAGCCCCGCCCAGTGTCCTACAATCCGCCCACCTTGTCGTTGATCAGCAGTTCCATTGGCTCAAGGCCGGCCTCCAGCAGCACAATCTCATTGGCTTGCCCGGGCACCGAATAGGAGAAGGGGGTGCCCTGGCCGGAGCCACCCGACCTGGAGCGCAGCCACATGCAGGCAGTGAAGGCATAGAGTTCTGGCAGTGCTTTGCGAACGCGGGCATACATATAGTTGTTGCGGATGGGGATGCTGACCCTGAAGGCATCCGGGGGACTGTAGGCCGAAGACCCTGGAAAGGGACAGGGCAGGGTCAGTGGGCACTGTGAAATGAGGGTTGATGGTTCCAGGCCACTAGGACACAGGTGTGATTGAGGGGGAGGCGTGGGGGTGCCAAGGGATTTCACCTCATCTACTTTGCCTCCGGGCTGAGAGGTGTGACTAAATTAGGCACAGGGGCTCTCTCTGGTCTTCGGATGTCCTGAGTTCAAATCTTACCATCATCTCTTTCTGACCCATGAGTCTCAATGAGATAAATACAACTTCCTTGAGCCTCCATTTCTTCAGGAAAATGGGCTAATGACACATTCTCCATTCAGCACAGTGAGAGTGGTAGGCCCAGAGTGGCTGTAATCATGGCTATTGACAGTCGTTCACCAACTTAAGAAGCAATCTGCAGTGCTCTATGTGTGGCAGGCTGGTTTTAAGTACCTTCTGTCACTTCCTCACAAGCTCAGGTATACCTGGGCACACAGAGGTTATTTTTTCAAGGTCACAAAGAAAGCAAGTGGCAGGACTGGGATTAGAACAAAAGGTCAAAGACAACTCAGTATAGAGACAGGGATGGAGCCCCAGGATGGGAGGTGATGTGGTGACAGGGGAGGGGGATGGGGAGGTGGATGAGGGAGGTTACCAGGAGTTCTTTCCTCTGTCCTGAAGGCAGTTAAGAGAGGAGGAGGCACTTCCCATGGTCCTCAGGGGTGTGTGTGGGGCACAGTAGCTGGACTTAGGGCACAGAGACCACTGCTGAAGTTCAAGTACTCAGTTGGGTGCCTCCCTGGAGCCCCTCAGGCCCACACTTCCCCTACAGCTGAACCCAGCATGGCCCCTTGGCTCCCACGGGTATTTCTGCTTCTGCTCTCCAGGCTTGGCTTAAGACCTCTCCCAGGAAGACACCCCAGCACTCCTAGTTCCCATCTCCCCATCTCGCCCTTACAAGGGCCCATGAGAGCTCATACGTCCCTAAGCCTGCTCCCCATCTCTCAAGTGAAGTCAGTGAGGCCTGAGGAAAGAAAATGACCTTTCAAGGTCACATAGCAAGTCTGTGACAGACTTGGAACTCAGGAGACCTGATACCTTCACCTACACCTACACTGTCTATTCTCTGACCCCCTGAGGGCTAAATAAATGACAGAAGGCTGGCAGATTAATAATAGGTGCTAATTATGGACAGCTGAATGTATGGCCATGGAGTCTGAAGGATCTGGTCATAGGTCTAGACCACTGACTCACTGGCTATGTGATCTTTAACAAGTCACTTGACCTCTCTCAAACTCACTGCCATTACCTATGAAGAACCCTGCAGTTAGTGCAGATTAAATCAGCCAGTTCCTGGACCCAGCAAAACCAGAAAATGACAATTAATTGCAGTAGCTTTGAGAATGACAGCAATCTCCCAGCAGGCTTTCTGTCATGTTCCACAGCCTCTGGAAGTTGCAGCCAGAGACCAGGGTCTGGTAGCTCAGCCATTTGCACCCCAGGACCTACCATGCTCCAGCTCTGCCACTCGACCCTGCAGGGCACCCAGTTCCTTCTCCACTTCCTGTCGCTGCTGGTGGCTGCCATGACTGAGGGCAGCACGTTCCTTCTCCAGCACCAGTACCTTCGCCAGCAGCTGGCCTTCCAGCTCATCCATCTTGGAGTGCAGGGCGGTGGGCACGGCTGGGGCTGGTGCTGAGAGGTTCCCATGGACTGGGAGCTCCTGCTGCTCCAGAGGAAAAGGAAGGATGGTGACATCACATGGAGATGCCATCACTCGGCTGGCCACCACAGGTGAACCTAGCTTCTGGTAGGCAAAGCTGAGACAGAGAAACAAAAGCAGGCAGCCTACCCACAGACAGAGCCTGTATGAAGAGGGAGTGAGAACCCATACAAGTTCAGCTTTGGAGTGGGAAAGGACCACATTAGCGCCTTCTAGAACCTTCTATGGCTGGGCCCCATGACACAAATCCCTCTCTAAGGGCTGGGACACAGCTGAGGGAGGGCAGGGCCTGCTATGATGCATTTGTGACCTACCAGGACAGGCCTGCTGCCAGGCCTTCTGGATGGGACTCTCGTAGTTTGGGACTGTGGTAATGACCCCAGACTCAAATGACAGCTACGGACTCAAACCCAGCTTGGGAACCAACCTCCTGTATGATGCTAGGAAAAACTGTATACTATTCTGAATTCATTTCCTCATGAAACAATTGTACTGTCATTTTGGAACCATTTTGGGGGATGATTATGTGGCAAATGCCAATAAACAGAGCCTACTGGCACTAATGTCCATCTCATTCAGGGTGTCCCAAGGTAGGTAGGCTCTGACACTATCCAGCCCAGGATGAGGAAGTGTTCATAGTCTCTCCTTGTCCTGTCTTAAACCCTAATGGGCAGAACTGAGGCAGGCAGAACTCAGACTGAAAAGGGCACTCGCTAGTGAACACATCACAGTAGGTGCTCATGAACATAGTAGGTGCTTGCAGCACACAGCACACGCTCATTCATGATTGGTCAATGAACAAACTGGGGGGACTCTGAGTAAAGGTGAGGGCCAAGTTTGAACTTGCCTAAGACCTCCAGTCCTTTGAGGCAATCTCACACCTCTTGTAACAGCCACTCAGCAGAGCTGGGGGCAGATGGGACATGGAGGGTGCAGGACTCCCCAGGGGGATTCATGACAGATGTTAGGAGCATGTGGCTGGGGTGATGAGCAGGATGGAGAGCTGTTTGAACCCTTAGTGCTCTCAGTGACTTCAGACACATGACTGCAGGCTCCCTGTGACTCCCATTGAGCTTCCCTGCCGTGAGAGATTCAGAGGGTGGGCGTGGCTTGTGTCCCACTGCTGTCTTTCCACACAACCCATGCACCGAAAGCACTGTGGCTGACACACACCCCAGCCAGGCTGTGCCTCTCTCTGTCTGTGCACCACAGTCCTCACCCCACTACCCTGCTCATGCGGGACAGTAGCAGTGCTGAGGATGAGGCCCGGCACCTCCTCGTCCTGAGGTCACATCACTGGTTATCACAGACAGAACCCTGATGCAAGGCACACACTTGTCTCCTTATCACAGGACAGGTTAAGAGGGATATCCAGTGTGTGTCACTAAGCAAATGACCAGCAAAGCCAGGGCTGAGTCACCTAGGCTGAAAGGATCTTTAAGTTGCTTCAGGGGCAGGGACAGTGCCTTGATGCTTGGAGTGCTCAAGGGATACTAAGAGACACCGTCCTGTTTCTAGCTGGGTGCCTCCTTCCCTACTCCTTCCCCTCCTGGAGTGACCTGGACACTGCAGCATTTGTCTGCTTCCTTCAAGGGGACACGCATGTGGCCAGGGGGAGCGTACAAGCTGTTCTTTGTCAAAGCACATGTTTGGTGGCACCAGGAAGCCAGGGATGAGGGGGCTCAGGGGCTAGGCTACAGCCCACCCCCACCCTAGCATGTGAATCAGAGAGACAAACACCCCCACCCAGCTTCCATCTGCCACAGGCACAGGCTGTGTGGTATGGGCTCGGGGCCTCGTGCCAAGTGGGCCCCAGCCTGAGATGGTAGGGGGACAAGTGGAGATGATGTCACACTGTCCCCCACTCAGTGCCTGATAGGGTAGGAAGGGAGGGCTGAACTCCAGGTGGGCTGTTGAGAGGCTGTGGTAAGAGTTTATTACATCTGGGCCTAGAGCCAAATCCCAGGGTTCTAGGCCCAGCTCGGCCATCATGAGCTGATGGGGATGGGGATGTGGGTGGAAGTGGGAGGCTCCTTAGTATTCAGCAGGGAACACCACAGCAGTATTGATGACACAAGACATGGGGCAAACACTTCTCAGCTGTTCCTGCACTCTGAAGACTAAGTTAGAGACCAGGGTGTTGAGGCTCAGAGAGGGTAGGCTGCCTTCCTGTGGTCACACAGCAGTCCAGTGCCCACTCCTCATACCAACCTTCACATTCTGAGTCTCAGTTTGTTCTCCTGCAAAGTGGGTATGTAATGTTGCCCTGGTTGCTAAGAAAGCCTAAAGGGATGGTCTCTGAGGCCAAGAAAGGCAGCTGTATCACACTGTGGACAACCTTACAGAGGCCCATAGGAGGATCCTACTAGTTTGACATGGCTGAGGTGCAGAAGGAATTGGGAAGCCAGCTGCCTTGGCTTCACGCAGCGGCTGCTTCTTTTGTGACAGAAGTAGTGGAAGGGCCTGACTTCAGGGTCCATGCAGCCCCCACCCTCCCCACTCAGCCCAGGTTCTGGGAACAGTAGTGCAGGCCTCTCTACCCAACTGTGTCCCTATTCTTCCAGCTTACGCCCTGGCTTCACCAGCTGAGTGCTTGTTGGCACAAGAGTAATATATTATCTCAGAGCCCATGGTGGAGTGCTGGCTATTGCCATTGCTATCAATACTACCTCCCTACCAGTGTTTTTGGGTTTGTTTGTTTTTTGTTTTTTCCAAGACATGGTTTCTCCATGTAACAGTCTTGGCTGTCTTCAAACTTGCTTTGTACACCAGGCTGGCCTAAAACTCACTGAGATCTGCCTGCCTCTGCCTCCCAAATGATGGGATTAAAGGCGTGCACCACCACTGCCCGGCCCTCATTATATCTTAAAGGGGCTGGAGACCTAGCTCAGTTGGCAGAGGGTCCCAGCACCACATAAACTGTGTGTTGTGATGCATACCCTTTGACCCCAGCCCTCAGGAGGCGAAGTCAGAAGGGCTAGAAGTTTAAGGTTATCCTTGGCTACATATTGAGTTCAAGGCCAGCCTGGGTTACATGAGACCCATATCAAAATTAAGTAAACAAATGTCTTGAAAGGACACACATTTCCCCATATCTAGTCCTGAAACAGTTTGTCAAATAATTACACTGGGAGAAAAGCTGGGCACAGGACAGTCAGCAGTTGGCACCACCAGATGTCAGGTGACTGGGGGAGGAGGTTCAGGCAGAAGGCAGGGGTGAGGGTCGATTCAGAATGAGGTGTCCATGTCCTAATACCCCAATTCCATCTCACCCCGAGACTTCAGCACACACTATTCCTTCTGCCAGGAATATGCTCTCTGCCCCTCCCCACCCTCGCCCAAGAGAGCTCTCCCAGATGGCAGCTTCCCTCAAACCCAAGCCAAGATGCTCGAAGAAAATAACAGGGTTCCAAGCTCTATCATGGCTTCTGCGCCCCCCTCATTCACTTGTTCATCCAGCCACTGTGTGCCCTGGCAATGCAGTGCCGGCATGACAGTCATCAACTTGTAGCTGCATGCTCTGCACAGCTGCTGGATTTTTCACTGTGGCCTCCAGCAAGCTGCTCCACCATCCTGACCCTCATGGTCGTCTGTGAAAGTCAGGCCACATTTTAGTACTTCCTACATTTAGGATGCAAGTGGTAAGATGTAAGGCAAGATCTAAGACGGTGAGTCGCAGGCGGCCCTCGAGCAGTTTTTAGTATTACTTTTATCATTACTGAGGGAATAGGGAGACTTTGGAGCTGGATGGCTGGATCAGGAAACCAGCTGAGGCCCCTGTGCACAACCCTGATGATGCCCAGCCTTTCCTGATGTCCTCAGCAAAAATAGGGACCCCCATCCCAGATAATTTACTCAGGAATCCTGGCAATAGTCTTGGCTCAGCCCCACCTTGCTGTGGGCCTTGGACAAATCCCTTGGCCTCTCTGATCCTATTCCCCTGGGTAGAGCTATTGGGGGGGGGACAACACATAAGCTCAACAGTTGTCCTCAGAGTTCAACAGAGATAAGACACTCAAAGCATCCTGGGCTCACTCTGTTAAGTTCATTCCTAATCTTTGACCTCATCCCACCATGGGCAAAGACTTCTGGAATGGCACAGTCCCTGACACCATGAATTAGTAGAACCATACACATTTAAACCATGGGAGTCCTGAGTCCTTTACACCCACCAGCTCAGGGAAGCTTGCAAATGACCAGGCCTGGAGGGCGAGGCTTGCTCCTGGGTGGGCGTGGAAACTTTTATAGTCACTTTGGGAAAATGTGTCACAGTACCTACAGATGCTAAATATATGTCTTTGCTGCTACCCAGGCATCCCACTGCTGGGAACAGGGCCAGCAGAAAGGATGGCTGATGGCCACCCAAAGAGACCATACACCATTCACAACAGCTTCAAGCTAGAATTAGACAGAACCTGAAGGTCCATCCTCAGAACAGGCTAGCAGTGATGGTGCTTCTGTGCCTCTAAAAAGTGACAAGTGGCCCCTGCCACAGATACCTGACTCAATGGCACAGGCATAAAGCCACTCAAGATTCAACTACAAGCAAAACTCATTAATGGTGGTACATACCTTTAATCCCAGCACTGGGGAGGCAGAGGCAGGCAGATCTCTGAGTTCAAGGCCAGCCTGGTCTAAAAGCAACAGGATTACACACAGAAACCCTGTCTCAAAAAACCAAGAAACACACACACACACACACCAAACAACAAACTCATTAATGATGACCACAGCCAGAATGAGGAGGATCCCAGTGACTTTGGGGGGCCCAAGGGAGCCTTCAGGATCTAACTGTTATCCTGGGAGTGCTTTTCCAGAGGCACTCAAGTATATCTGTCCAGACCTGTCCACTCCAGATTTGTGTCCTTTATAAGTGAGACATGAACCCTTATAGACCATGGGCATCTGGTAGACCACAGAAAGGGCCTCTCTTCCTGGGAGGACAAGAGACTTTTTAAAAGGTCTTAGGGTATCCCTTCCCATTCAACAGATGGGGTCACTGAGGATCAGACACAGGAGGGTCTGAGGTCACAGCAAAAGGGTGGCAGATAGATACAGGGTTTACAAAGCCAGACTTCTTGCTAGGATAAAGGCTTGCCACTTACAGGCCCAGTTAGGAGCCTTTCACAGCCCAGCTCACACATTTTACAGACATGAAAACTGAGGTCTGGAAAGGGAGTGTTCCAAAGAATAAGTATATCGCATGCAGTTGCCCCATTTAGAGCGGCAGGGTATCTAGGAAGCATCTGCTCTGTTGTAGGGTTAGGTTTTTCTGAGATGGAGTTTCATGTAGCCCAGGATGGACTTAAACCCACCATGTAGCTGAGGATGACTTTAAAGTCTCATCTGTTTGTTTCTGCCTCCTAAGAGTTGGGATTACAGGTATATACCATAATGCCCTGTTCAGTGTGTGCTAGAGATTAGGCCCGGGGCTTCAGACATGCTTTGCAAGCACCCAGCCCCTCCCTGTAGAGTCTCTACAAAGGGGAATCCTGACGGGGTAAGGGTCAGAAGTCTGCATCCCTCAAACTCTGAGCCTTCTGGTCCCCTCTCTCCAGGACAGAAATGTACATAGCCTGTTTCACATGACAGCCACTGAAGAAGCCAATGTATAATACATACCTAAAAAGGGCCAGCTGCTCCGGCCAGCCTCAGGGGAGCCTCCACACCAGCAGGGGCAGCCTCTGAGACCCGGCCAGCACCATGCTCACTTGGCCCCCAAAGACAAAGGTGAGCACTGCTGTCCCTTGCATCCTCTCACTGTCTTCCTGGGTGTGGAGTCAATATGAATACCCAGACAGGACCATGGAGCTAGATGCTCACAGGCCAAACCCAGGCTCTTATGCTGGGTGACCTGGGGCCAGTGTTTTAACCTCTCTGAGATGATGTGAAGTTCCGGATGTGTGGTAAGTGCTTAGTAATACAATGACCATTGTTAGGATATCAGCTTCCCTGAACCCAGTGTCCACTGGGATTCCTTCAGGATGCTCTTTACCATGGCTCTACTCCAGAGGGGCGGCAGGGTGATGGAGCACAGTGCTGTGTCAAGGAAATTCTGTCTGAACCAATCCTGAATCTTTACTCTACATGTACATTAGTACAAAAATGGAACTCTGGGACACACCAGCATGACCTGATGCCACATAAATGGACTGGCTCCCTTGGAAAGTGGTTCTTGGCCATAGTCAGGAGAAGTCAACCTCCTCTGACATGGGAACAGCACTCAGGGGACTTCAGCTAAAGGCTCCATTCAACAGACTGAAGTTGCCAAAGGGAGGCAACTTGCACTTATCCCCAGAGGCTAGTGATGATGGGAAAATGGTAATTCTACTCTGGCCTGTTACAATGCCTACCGGGAGACTAATATCAGGGGACGGCAAAAGGGCAGAGAATAGTTAGATTAATTAAGAAACTTCCCCCAAAACTTTTTCAGTGAACAATGAAAACTAAAAAAAAAAAAAAAAGCTTTCTCTGAAGCCCCTAGGCACGGCTTCCACCTCAGGAGGGTATGAGGGGGAGGCCAGTAGTATCATGTCTCCATCTATTGTAGTCAGGCCTGGCTGGAAGAGACAGGGTGACCCAGAGGTACACAGGTGGGTGGCGATGGGGGACACTCAGGGTATGGCCAGGGCAGGCCTCTGGGAGGAAGGAGTCTGGAGCAGGTGCGGTATGTATGGGGGAAGTTGAACTGACCCAAGAGAAAGCAGGAGAGACCTGAGAGATAAGGCCAAGGAGCCAGGTCAGACTCAAGCAGGTGGCCAGGTTCAGGCTGAGGAGTGTGCCCCCATGAAGGAATCCCAGGGTAGGAACACCCCCAGATGTCTCTGGAAGTGAGGGACCAACCAAGAGGCAGCTGGGAGTGCTCACAGAGATGCAGGTAGATCTGTGGGTCATGTGGAGTGAACCCTGGAAGCCACTGGGTGTGGCTCAGCCCACCCAGGAGACCACCCAAGAAGGATCTTGAAGCAGAAAGAAGGAAGAGACCCTGTGGTACAGTGAGAGGGGGTAGGTAGATGCATCTAGAAGCCAAGAAGGGAAGCAATATGTGGTCAGGGGCTGGGGGGGGGGGACGTGTCAGATGTCTGAAAGGAGCCAGCAAGGCAGACATTAGAAAATCCCTTCAGGTCACGACCTCTGGGGGCATTAGCAGGAGTGAATTCAGGGGGACTGCATCGGTGACAGCAGACCTGTAAGTCTTGGACTTCTGCCCAGACTGGATGAGAAGGGAGGAATACATCCATGGCCTAGGGATGCTAAGAGTCCCCACTGAGAGTGGCAGCATAACCCCAGAGGTTGACTCTGGCTGTTGCCAAGCTCAGAAACCAGACCTGGAGGTATCATGTCCACTGCACTCAGCAAACCCAAAGGGAAGGATGTAGGGAAGCTGGGGCTCCCCAAGCCTGGGAAGCTGACCTGCTGCCAAATCCCATGCACCAGGATCCCTCTGCCTCAGCAGATCAAGAGCCAGGCGCCAGGGAGCAGGGCCAGGGTCAGCCCAGCTGGACCAGTCACACGTGGGAGGAGCCACCTGTGCCATCTGTGGTGTCAGGGCTAGGGCAAAAGGGAAAGTTGAGGAGACTCAAGTGGTTCTCACTTTAGTACAGTCTCCTTGAGGGAGAGTCTCCTCTTGGTTATGTTTGTATATTTTCGATGGAGTGCCTGCTGGCATGTACAGGCGAGGAGACTTTGAGCTTTTTACTTGGTCTTTTTCCTGCTCTTGGGTTTTGAAACCTCACCCCTGGGCAGGGAAGAAAGGTGCTGGCCTGGCTGGTCTCCCCTTCTGTTGCTCAACTCAGGAGGTTCCAGCTCAATTTCCTCTCTTTCATATAGGGAGTGGAAGCCTTGGGCGTGCTGTGGGGAGGCTGTGATCTGCCACCTTGAAGGTGGGGGTGTGAGCAGCTGATTTCCCGGTGGTCTTTTGGGCTAGGGCCTACAACTTTCCCCATGGGCATCTCCTCTTGCACCCTCAGATTGAGCGTCGAGTGGCATGCATACTTTCTTTCCCCATTTAGTTCTCTCAGGCTCTCTCCTCACCTCTGCCCGACTTCAGCCTGGGGAGACATCAGGGGCCATAGCATTTGCTCCATTTCTCCTCGCTGTCGTGGACCTAACTGTGTCTGGAAATCAGTTCATGCCTGGGGATGGCCAAGGCTTCCTGGCTGTTTATCCTGCCCAATCTGTATCACCTATACTTCCCCAGACTGGCAATGTGTAACAGGGAGAGAGAGAACCATAGGTATAACCAATCAATGGGCTTAGCATCACACACACCCAGAGTAGGATCCCTATTGCCCAGGCTGGCTGTGTCTGACCTGGAAAAGGAGGAGGAGAGGGTTAATTGGGTCCCTATTGGAGAGTCATCAGCTGACTCCCCAGGAACCCAGAGCTTCAGGTATATAAAGCTGGGCGTGGCCGAAGGGCGGGAGGTGGTGCAGAGAGGTGAGGTTGGTGTTATTGGGGCACTCTTGGTCATGAGAGGAGCACTTCCTAACAGTAACGAGTGTGGGGCGGGTGCTGCTCTGGGTTCCGGTAGAAGGACATCTAAGGAGAGCCTCCTATGTGCCAAACATCCTCACACCTGCCTCCCAATCAATTTCCACTACAAGTGGACACTGTTCTCCCACTCTAGTGCATCGGTCACCGTAACAGGCTCCCTGGAGCGTGCACCGGGTGAACAGACGGCAGTCCCGGGAACCTGGGATCCGCACGTCTCAGGCAGGGCATTGTCCCCCACCCCGTGTCTGCGACGGCGCGCCGCTCACCTCGATGCGCTCGATGCGGTCCCGCAGCGCGCGCACCGCGTCTTCCAGCTCCAGGAGCAGCGCGGGTGAGTCCCAGGCGCCGTCGGCCATGGTGTCGCGGCGCGGCCCGGCATCCTGGAGGCCGCGCGGCAGGCCGCTCTCGCAACGGCCCAGCTTGCCGGTAAGCTCGCGGATGGTGTCCCGGTCTGCGCGGATGCGCGCCTCCTGCTGCAGCGCCGTCTGGCGCAGCTGCTCCGCTGTGCTCTGCAGCAGCAGTAGCTCTGCGCGCTCGCCCGCCGCGTCCCCCTGCTCGGTCCCCGACGGGCAGGCGGCTGCTAGCGGCGTGCAGAGGAAGCGGCTGAGCAGCGGCCCGGGCGGCGGCGGGAAGACGCTGGCAGCAGGCTCTCCCGGCAACGCCGAGGGCCCGGCCGAGCCGCCAGCGCCGTGCAGGGCGCTCAGGCTGCGCTGCGGGCCCGGGGCGCCGGCGGCCGAGGCATTGTCGGTGCCGCCCGGCAGCGCGCGCGCGGGGCTGGCCGCCAGGGGCACGCTGGCGATGATGCAGATGACGGCACCGAGGAACGCCAGCATGCCCGCGGCCAGCAGCACAGCCAGGAACTTCAGCGTGAAGCGCGGAGGGGGCGCGCTAGGGCCCCGGCAGGAGCGGCGGCGGGGTCGGGGCGCAGGGCCCGGGAGCGCGAGAGCCGGAGCGAAAGAAGCGGAGTTGTCACCGCGGCCGCTGCTGCCGCCGCTCTGAGCCCGCGAGGCGGGAGGAGGAGAAGGCGGGCGCAGCAGCCCCGCCCCACTCGCTCCCCTGGGGCCGACTGAGGCCCAGCCCCGCACTCGTTCCGTGCCGGGAGCCCGGGTACGTGCGCCACGCCCAGGACTTCATCTCACGCGAAAAGCGGTGACTGGATGGCTACCCGGTGGCTGAGTGGGTTCCAGGGCGACCCTGTTCTCTGGGCTCTGTTCCTCTCCTGGTCTTCCGGAATGCAGACAACTGAGACCCTGTGGGGCTCTGGACTCAGCATGCTGCAAACTGGGTAGTAGTTAACACTCAGCATGAACATGCTCACGATAAAAATGAGGAAACTGAGGCCTCTGGGCTAAGCATGATGCTGGCTTGGTTGCAATTAACACTCAGCGCAAACATGCTCACGATACAAAAAGGAAACTGAGACCCATGGAGGCCAAGTGGTAACCCAAGGTCACACAGCTAGTATGCATTTGGAGCAGCATTTGAGGCCAGCCACTCTGCTTGTACAGAACTAGTATGATGGGAGTTGGGGAGCAAAGAGAAAGCCCTCAAGGTGAGGAGGCGATTTGACCTAACCTATTTCTACTGTGGTCACCTGAGTGTCTATCACCTGCCACCTCCAAACTTCCTAGCAGAGCAGGGTTTACTATTCTCCATCCCTGGGATGGATGGCACCCTTATCCGAGTCCTCGGGCCTGCAAGCATCAAGGTTCCCAGAGGAGAACCCCCTATCTCCCTGCAGCCTTCATTAGAGTGGCCGGTGGAAAGCAAGCTGGTGGGCACCAGGACCAGGCAGGAGTGGGCTCTGTGTGTGTGTGTGTGTGTGTGTGTAGGTTTTACTTTATTGTGTCATATATATATATATATATATATGTATATATATATTCTGTTGGAAATTAACTTCACAATTAAATATTTTAAAAATCTTGTCACCCTTTCCAGTCCAGCCCCAGGCCTGTGTTTCTGCAGGCTGTCTCTGCCTGGGGTGGATTCCTGGACTGAAAGAACTCTGGGAAGCCATGATGGTCCCTGCTGCAACCTGGGCCTCATGGGAATTGCTGAGTCCTGAGCCAAGCCTTGACCTAAAGGGAAGGCCATCTCAAAGTCTCTGTCCCACAGCTTCAAGTGTAGACATGACTGGGAGAGGGACCAGGATATTCCTGAGGGATATTAGCCCCCAGGAACCTGGGTAATCCTACTTGGCCACTGACACCCCATGAGTAATCCATGGGCATGTGTTCTAACTCTCTCCCCTCCACACTCATGGGGATCATGTCCCTCTGCTCACCCACCTCCTAGAATCAGGGGTTGTTGTCCAGATCTTAGTGGTAAGTAGCATAGGAGCCCAGCCAGTACAGGACCCGCTCATCATGAGCACCCAGAGCTGGAGTGAGTAGATAAAGTTAGTAACCTAAATACCAGCCCAGGCAGCATTGCTCAGAGGAAGCATCCACAACTGGAGGTCTAGCCTCAGATCTTTGGAGGCAATGTCAGACATTGGGCCCCTGGAAGCTTTAGGGGGTGCAGAAGACATCAGCACCCCAGGTGATTCTAATGTGTCCATGAAGATGTACAAGCAGACAATATTCCCAGGAGAAAATGTTCTGGGTACAAGGAAGGCCAGGAGAGGCCAAGAGGAAGCCACTATGAAGAGCAGCACAGTTAGCTGTGATTTGAGTGTCATTAGCCACCCCAAGAGTCTGGAGACAGCTGAGATAAGAACAGTGGCTGGAGTTGAATCTTGTCTAAACTGGTTAAAGACTTAGCATAGCTATTAAGCCAATGGTATGAATCACCCAATGGCATCCTAGCTCTTGTATGGGACTATCTTTCCAGGGATATGGTAAATGGCCTAGGAAAACAGAGCAGTGCTGCCCTCAGAGAGCAGGGTTGCTTGCTGATCAGAGAACAGTTCACACCTCCCGGACCACAATCAGCTGGGCCAGCTTGTAGCACATCAAAAAAAGACCAAGGCTGTCTTACTTAGCTCATTGTATTGTCGGTACTGCAGACCTATTGTGTGTGTCCATCTAGGGTGCCTGTGTTGCTCCGTGAAGGCACAGGAGACTATTGCCTACATGCAGTAATGTATGTGATATGACTGATAAGATGTGAGTCATGAAGTATCTCTCTGCCACACCCCAGGAGAAGGGTTCTGGACTCTTCCCCAGCATCCACGAAACCTTCTAACTTGCTGGTTTCTTTTGTTTGTTTGTTTGTTTTTGAGACAAGGTCTTTAAATGTAGCTTGGAACTCTCTATATAGACCAGGTTGGCCTCAATCTCATAGGGACCCCCACACTTCTGTCTGGGACTAAAGATGAACACCATCAAAGAAATAAAGACTCTAACTTGCCAGTTTGCAGAGGTGAGTCTCAGGCCTTTTGCCATTCTTGACACCTTCTGTGTCTCCCCTCTCTAAGATGAGGAATACTGAGAGCATACAAAAAGCTTCTGTTTGGGCTGGTGATGTCATTCAGCTGGCAGAGTGCTTGGCTAGCAGGCATGAAGGCCCTGTACCACATAAAGCCAGGGTGTGGTACATGCCTGTAATTGCAGCATTTGGGAGGCAGAGGCAGAAGGATCAAGAGCTCAATGTCATCATGAGCTTCAAGGTAGCCTGTTGAGAGAGAGACAGACAGAAATAGAGATAGTCAGACAGATAGACAGCCAGAGAGTTGCTAATCTGAGCATAACTTGGCTTTCCATCCTTGTGCCAGCTGCCTACAACAATCTCAAATGGCTAAGCTCTGGGCACCACAATACCTTCCATCTCTGCACTGGTCCATGGATGCCCAGCCCACAATGTCACCTCATCATTCCTCTTGGGCCCTGGCACTCAGCACCAGCCCCATTCCCCAACCCCAATGGCTTCTTAGAGAATACTTGCTGAACTAGTTTCCCCACAGGCTGTGCTACCGCTCTGGGCAGAGTGCTGAGGCTGGACCCCTCTCTTCTGGTGATGTACCTCCTTTCTCCTGACAGAGTTCCTGCAGGGATGGTCAGGGGTGTTCTCAGGGAAACTTCCCTAAGACTGTAATAGCACCTCCATTTTCCATCACAAATCTTACATCTCTTGTTTTCTCTTCTTGTAGTACTTAGACATAGAACCCAGGGCCTACACATGTTAGGCAAGAGCTCTATACTGGGACACAACCCCACAAAGCCTAGTGTTTTATTTCTTTGTTTTCATTCCATTCTTAGGATGAGGGTATTTTGTTATAAATAACGCAAAATTTTTTCAAGGATTCTTTTTTTCTGGATGTGGTCGTGCATACCTTTAATCCTTGCACTTAGGAAGCAGAGATGGGAATCTCTCGGAGTGCCACACTAACCTGGTCTACACAGTGAGTTCCAGGCCAGCTAGAGTTACATAGTGAGACCTTGTCTAACAATAACAAAAATCTAGGGGTGGTGGCACTAGTCTGTAACTACACAGCTAGGAGGGCTTTCTGGCTAGCCTAGCCAAAATGGCAAGTTCAGTGAGAGATACTATCTCACACAATAAGATAGAGAGCAAATGAGAAAGACACCAATGCTGACCTATGGCCTACACACGTGTATATGTGCACACACTCATGTGTTTCCCTGCACATACATGAACACATATGCACACATAAACAATTCAGTAAATAAATAGACAAAAGTTCTGCTCAATTAGTGTTTGCCACACTATGGCTAATTTAAAAGGAGCAGGCGTGGAAAGGGTGAAATGGGTACGAGAAATATAATTATGTGGTTTCTAAAAATAGAATAACAGGTCCATGGGCTGCCTCACCAGGTAAAGGTGCTTGCTGTCAAACCCTGGGGCCCACGTGATAAAAAGGAGAGCAGTGACTCTGGAAAGATGTCCTCTGACCTCCACACAGTGCTATGACATGCATGTGCCCCCTCCAGTAAATAGACAAATGTAATAAAAAAATTTAAACATGGGCACTTCCTAGATAGGTTACTGGTAGTTTCCACAATAGGCATGGAGCAGAGGCAGGATTTGAACGTGGGGCTTGGGGCTGTCAACCCATATCAGATGGCCTGGGCTTTTCCCAAGTTTTAGGGATGAGTGTCCTGCAACCCAAGGAATCACTCAGTCTTGGATAAATATTGAATGTGGTACCCCCTAGTTCCCCAAAGCCAAGCTGTTCTGCCATTCTCCCTGCATGTCTCTAGGGAGTGGTGGGTTATCACCACACACCTTTCCCTCCCTTCAGCCCTGGGTACCCTCCCCTGCAGGACCTTCACTGTGCCTTCTGTCTGCATGCAGGCTGGGACTAGCTTTCACAGCCCCATCTCCTGTCTCCAGGACTGCTACACGGGCGTGCTCACACTCCTAGTGACGAGCCAGTGTACCTCTTGAGGGTGTGCCTGTGAGCAAAGCAATCTCTTCCTCCCAGGACATGTAAAGGCCACACATTGTAGTCTCCATGAGAGCTCATTTCCCCCATTGGAGCTGTGGAATCAGTGATACCTACAGATAGGACGTAATGAGGAGTAAGGAAAGACATTGCATAAAACTTTTCCTCAGGGGTCAGGGGTCAGGTGCAGGCCCCATTTCCTTCCTCTTTACTGTTTTATTCTATCCTATCTATCTATCTGTCTATCTATCTCATATCTCATGTATATATGCATGCAAACATACATGTACGGAGACCAGAGAACAATTTTCAGGAGTTGGTTCTCTTTTTCCTCTACCATATGGGCCCTGGATATTTAACTGCAGTCACCTTGGTGACAAGCGCCTCTAACCACTGGGTCATCTTCTGGGCCCCAGGCTCCATTCCTTACCACACTGCTTTGCATTTCTAGGGTATAGGACAGTGCCTGACACTCAGAAGGTGACCAGTAAATGCTACCTTCTTCTTTGTGTGTTCCTACACATGGTGCTCAATGTTACTTTCCTTTCTTGGTGCCTCCTTGCCTCCTTTATGACTCTAGTCTGGGACTCATTTATGGATTTGACTTCACACATTTCAGCCTCTTTGGAGGGAAGCAAGGCCCTGCTGGGGCCCACAAATGTTTGCACATTTGTAGTGGATGCTGGGAGGAGGAGCCCCAATCAATAGAGAGGAGGATGGAAGCCAGTGGGATGACAGCATGCCTCCCGAGGAAGCCAAGAGATTTCCACCCAGGCTCTC